GTATTGTTTGGATATATAGCTGTGATTTAACCGATCATTAATAATGCAGAACAGTTATTTCATTAGCAGATGTGAAGTGTGTGTGGAGCTCAGTGATGATAATACTGCAGAGGAAACTTCAAGGAGAAACAGCAGGGGGTCAGCGTACGATTCAAAGAGAAAGGAAATTATTTAAATTACAGAAGTAAGGTAACGGAAGAAAAAGATTATGTACATCTGCATTGATTCATAATTTAGCAAAATATGTAGATGTGGGAAAGAAAGAATGGAGATATTATTAAAAACAGTCAGAGTAAAAGGTGATCTTTCGTATGGCTTCATAAATCAGAAAACTCTAAAGAAATGTTTTAGGGTAATACTTAGAAAGAATACAAAGGTATAGTATTATATCTTCTCTATTTGTAGCCTGCATCTCATTGTCGTTTAGTTGTTTGCGAGTTTCTAGAAGTGATTTTTAATCAGGTTATTTCCCAGCTGCACTAAACTTTCCCTTCACAATAAGAGCATCTTCTCTAAAGTTTTGCCACCGCCCGACGTCACGCCAAAATCTGCCCCGAGCCACTGAGACAAACTCGTCTGACTGATGAAGACCACCACTCTCTCTGAGCGAGAACAAAGAGGAGGAGAGAATATCTTTGTATGCAAATCAACCTCCACCTTCACCGACGCTGGGAAAAACACGCCGACATCAAAGGCAGCGGCTGACAGGACTGCTGGAGAAGCAGCAGCTAAATGCTCGTTAGCTTGAATCCTGCAGGGAACCCCACCTCAACACCTACACAGACACATAAATAACATATAGGAATCACAATGATATTAATTTACTGTGTGAGGTATCATCATCGAGAAATGTGTGTTTATGTTATGTAGTGTCTCTACTTTAAAGAGTCCTCTCCTGCTGATGTTCAGGTGTATATCAGTATTTAGTGTCTCTACTTTAAAGAGTCCTCTCCTGCTGATGTTCAGGTGTATATCAGTATGTAGTGTCTCTACTTTAAAGAGTCCTCTCCTGCTGATGTTCAGGTGTATATCAGTATGTAGTGTCTCTACTTTAAAGAGTCCTCTCCTGCTGATGTTCAGGTGTATATCAGTATGTAGTGTCTCTACTTTAAAGAGTCCTCTCCTGCTGAGGTTCAGGTGTATATCAGTATGTAGTGTCTCTACTTTAAAGAGTCCTCTCCTGCTGATGTTCAGGTGTATATCAGTATGTAGTGTCTCTACTTTAAAGAGTTCTCTCCTGCTGATGTTCAGGTGTATATCAGTATGTAGTGTCTCTACTTTAAAGAGTCCTCTCCTGCTGATGTTCAGGTGTATATCAGTATGTAGTGTCTCTACTTTAAAGAGTCCTCTCCTGCTGAGGTTCAGGTGTATATCAGTATGTATAGTCTCTACTTTAAAGAGTCCTCTCCTGCTGATGTTCAGGTGTATATCAGAATGTAGTGTCTCTACTTTAAAGAGTCCTCTCCTGCTGATGTTCAGGTGTATATCAGTATGTAGTGTCTCTACTTTAAAGAGTCCTCTCCTGCTGATGTTCAGGTGTATATCAGTATGTAGTGTCTCTACTTTAAAGAGTCCTCTCCTGCTGATGTTCAGGTGTATATCAGTATGTAGTGTCTCTACTTTAAAGAGTCCTCTCCTGCTGATGTTCAGGTGTATATCAGTATGTAGTGTCTCTACTTTAAAGAGTCCTCTCCTGCTGATGTTCAGGTGTATATCAGTATGTAGTGTCTCTACTTTAAAGAGTCCTCTCCTGCTGATGTTCAGGTGTATATCAGTATGTAGTGTCTCTACTTTAAAGAGTCCTCTCCTGCTGATGTTCAGGGGCCTCATTTATAAACGGTGCGTACGCTCAAAAGATGGCGTACACAAGTTTCTACGCAATGTTTGCGATTTATGGAAAACGTGCGGTCCTCCACGCAAACTCTGACCCATGCGTACGCACTAAGCACAAAAACGGGAGAGACGAGAAACTGCGACACCGTTGGCAGAAGGAAGAGAAATATGTGGAAATAATACCATCAATAAAATGTTGCCTCTCATTTATCATATAGAATAATCCCAATCTTAAAATGATTTAACAAACACCTGTTTGAGACAGTGCACACAACTTGGAGAAATAAATAATTACGGAGATGTTATTGATCATCCCTCGATTATGTTCTCTTGTTAAGAAATGTATTCTCATAAATGATGCGGTAAACAGAAGGACAGAATTACTTTAAACTGACGCCGTTTTGCATTTCTATAGGTTGTAGATACGAGCATGGTTTTATATACTATCATGTTTAATCATGTTTTATGCCGTTCGCCAAGACTTGATAAGTTGCTTGGAAAACACAGGAGGTATGGAAACTAAGAACACCATATGTGGTAAATTGTACAATACAACACAACACATTAGTTGTATTTCCAACCCAGTCTCTTATCTAAACGTGTAATAACTACGTTGGTCCACAACTTAGGACGTAGTATTTCTACAAAAACGCCTCTGAAATTGTAAGATCCCTACGTTTTTTTTCACCATGAATTTGCAATGGCTGGCGTCTATGTCACGTGATCCTATCAAGCACAAGTACGGGCACGAGCAAAAAATAGGACTCAAGAGCACAACCAGGCAAAAAGGTCTTTCGTCAAGCGTTTAATCCAAAAGGTAAAAATAAAACAGGCAATGATCAAAAAATGTACTGACTAGAAGCAACGAAAAACAACCAACTAAGTTGGCGGAAAACTACGAAAGAAGCAACAAAAAAACAACCAACTAGAACAATAGCTTACGTCAGGAGAGAAACATGGAGCACTTTCTGCTATACAGACAAGACGATCTGGCACTGACCAAGGAAACAGCACAGACTAAATACACAGGTGAGGAGTGAGGATTAGGGACAGCTGAGGCTCATTGAGGCCAGGCAGGTGATTAACAGGGAGCGAAAATACACAGGTGAGGGAGTGAGGCGATCAGCCAAGGCCAGGATGTGACAGATCTTCACATTTCTCCCCGCAAAAAAAAACACACATGGCCGACCATTTTTTTAATTCTCGGTGGAAAATGCCTATTTTAAAGTTAGTTTGGCCATTAAAATGCGTTTTGATGTCATTTGATGCGAGAAATATGAGTTTTCATTGTTACCAAGGTGGTTGCTAGGGACGCCTTTTATCGATATTATTTCTGTTATGTTGTGTAACTGTTTAATGGTGTAATCGTTATTGCTACCCGCTTCCCCGTCAATGTATAGTGTTGGTCCACAGCGCAAACGTATTAGTTTAACAAAATCCGCATCTAAAATTGTGGCATAGATCGTTATTTTCCCCTGTGCAATTCCAGTCTCACATCTCACATCACATCGTCATTAACAAATACCGGAAACAGACGTAGGCAAGATCCTCAGCTCGGTGATTGGATGGTTTAGCCGCAATGCGCGTTGGGAAATGGTGTTTATCCACATGTCTACCCTACTTTTATCATTTTCGAATCATAAATCTAATCGATAGATTTAGACTTTTGAAACTACAAGAAGATAAGGAGGACTTTTACAAAAAAGTAATAGAGATTTTTGTCCAGAGGGATAGGCAAATGGACTTCATCTTAAAGTCAAGGTAAGAACGCATTTATTGAAAATGGGATCCGACCACGGATAAGCGGGAGAAGATGGATGGATGGATGGGATCTTACTAAGAGAGCAACACACTCTCACTCCCTAAGCGTCCAGGAGCGACGCTTGGTCAGGGTCCGGTGGCGTCCAGTTGTGACGCGTCGAGGCTCCTTCAGCTTCATAAACGGAGGCAAAGAGCTTTCAACTGATTGCAATGTATTCCCATCGGCGGCGGTATTTCACGCTTAGGGAAGCTCCGCATCCGTTTATGTCGGCAATGTGAACGTCCATTGGATAACGGAGAATTGTACACCCGGAAGTAAGTATTCTCCTTACTGTCGATTGATTTGACAGTGATATCTGCACTACTCATCAACTCAAACACCAGATTACCTTTGTTAATTAAACGACATTGATAGGTTTCAATTGTGTGCAATGCTTTTGTGTTTTTTCCTTTCAATTCTGAGAAACAGCTTGTTTTCTCTGAAATGAGTATTAATTTAATATTCATTCATATGAGTATTAATGATTTAGATCTATTTGATAGGAAACAGTTGCACAAATGCAAACACACACACACACACAAACACACACACACACACACACACACACACTTGATTGTATTGCCGCTAACAGTGTGCAGTCTGCAGAGAGTGGAGGTTACATAACAGCTGTTCAAAGATGATTAAAAGAAACTCCAGAGAGGAAGCAGAAACTCTGATAGTGAAATCAGACAGGAGCTAGCGGATAATGAGAGATCACAAATACAAAGTCTAATAAATTAATAATATATAGCGATATAGCCACTGTATCTATTTTTAGAAGGCAAATAGCTCAGTGTTTAATGATCAAACTAACTGCAGTGTTTTAAATAGGATGTAATATGCAAAAACCATCAAACTAACTTCATGTTAAAAAATAATTAAATAATGATAAATAAATTATAAATAATAAAATTAATATTTTTCTGGGATATAAAATGCCAGAGTAATTATAATTAGAGATGAATGTGACTTCCTCAAAGTGCACATTTCTAAACAAAGCAGCATAAAAAACAACGTCTAAAAATACTCAAGGCATACTTTTTTGAAAAAGAAAATCGTGTTCAGAAAGTTATTCCACCAAAAACCATTACAAGTGTTTAGACACACTTAATCTGTTGGAGAAACACACTTTTTGGTGTTTAATATGCAGTCAGCGGCTCACCATGTCCGACTTTAGGGGACCTGCCTCGGCTTCACACGCTGCTGTGTGTCGTTGTCAAGATGCTGCGTGTGTGCGTGCGCGCACGTGCGTGCGTGTGTGTGTGTTGCAGCACAAAATCGTTTGAAGTTGCTGCTGCAGCCCGACACATGGGGATGGGATTGAAAAGCATGAACGTATTTTTCAAAAAAGCAGCGGATGTCTTACCTTTGCTGCTGGGTTTCTTAGCCAGAGAAAGGTGCTCTTCGCCGGGGAGAAGCTCCAGGATCACCGGGGTCTCCGTGAGTGGTGTAGCCGGTTCAGATCCGCTCCTCCCCGGGTCGCTCGCTGAATCCTGCGTGGAAGACTCCATCCATGCACCGGGGGTAAAAACAGAAAAGCTCCAAAATGAATAAAATCCCGTCGGAAGTCAGTGGTTGTTAAATGGATGAAAAAACACCCAGTGAAGAACCGGCGGAGAAGCGTGTGTGAGAAGCGGGAGAGAAGCGACTGATGGGCGGCGTTTAGAGGAGAGGAAGCCGGGAGGAGAGAGGGGGAGGGCGGGGAGCTGGGGAGAGCTTTCTCCCTGGAGGCAGAGATCCAGGCACTGACACTTTACCATCTTTCAGACACAAATCAGCAGGGATGGAAAGGAACCAGTACATTTACTCAAGTACCACACTTAAATACTATTCTGACATATTTGTGCTTTGAGTATTGTTTAATACTTTCCAATTCTTCTCAACTACATTTCAGTTGCAACCTGTACTTTTTACTCCACTACAGTTCTTAAATAGGCCTACTCATAAAAAACATGATTATATGATATGATGCAGTACTGTCATCTACACAGAAATTAAATCAGTTTTCCGAATTATTTGATCAATGACCAGTTAGATCATTGAAATAAAAAACATCTGTGGTATATTTAATTTTTTTTTTTAAGGATGTGAGATGTGATTGAAGGTTGCAATGCATCTTAAGTGGCAGACATTTGATATGGTTTTTTTAACTTTAAAAAAACGATAATTCAAGACAAAGGTACGGTGGCCGACAGGTGCAAACGAGCTACACCGACCCAAAAGTCTTCCATCGGGAGAAACAATGCAAATGTAAAAACACAAATGTTCAACATGAACTTGAAGAAACATCTTCAGCAACTTGACAACAAATGCAGCATTTAGAAAACATTCAACAACTTGAGGAAACATGCTTACTAAATGCGTATGTTATGCTTTACTAAAAGCTGCAAAAACAAAGTCAACTTTAATGTCAATCTTACTCAGTTTTTTTTGTTTACAGACAGAGAGATCGAATTGAAGTTTCCAACAATCCCGAGTGTATAAAGTATGTTATTCCTATATAAACAGTCAACAGACACATTTGCACACAACAACAAAAACACAACAATCAATATATATAAAATAGCTGTCACTTCAATATAAATATCTTTGGTATTGGAAGCGGACCCGAGTCCGCTCAGCCCGGCTTTTGCTCAGCCCGGGGGCTGAGCAAAAGCCGAGAAGGCGGACTCGGGCAGACAGCCCGGGGGAACAGCAAAAGAGCAGGGAAGTCTGCAGCGGGGAAACTTAGGGGGCCGGGCTCGAGGGCAAAGGCCGCGATGGGACAGCTCCGGAGGACGGGCAGGGAGATGGCGTAGGTCGCACTGGGAGCTGGAGATGGCGGAAACCCCGGTGGGACAGGAAGCTGAGCCGTCGGGACAGGTGCAGACGGAACCCCCGACGGGACAGGCACAGACGGGACCCTGGACCGAACATGGGCTGGTGTCAGTGGGACCCCGGACGGAGCAAGGGCTGGTGTCGACTGGATCCCAGACGTCAGCGGGACCCCCAACAGAACTGGACATGGTGTATGCGGACCCCCGACGGGGTCAGGATCTGGTGGCAGCGGGACCTCTGACTGAACAGGATTCGGAGCTGGCTGGACCTCCGACAGAACAGGTGTCGGCGGGACCCCCAACAAGTCAGGACACAGAGTTGGCAGGACCCCCAACGGAACAGAACATGGGGCTGGCAGGACCCCCGGCAGAACAGTAGTCGTTGGGCCCCCCAACGGGACAGGACATGGAGTTGGTAGGACCCTCAGCAGAACCCCCAACGAAACAGGACATGGAGTTGGCAGGACCCCCGACGAAACAGGCATCGGCTCGACCCCCAATGGAACAGGACATGGGGCTGGCAGGACCCCCGGCAGAACAGTAGTCGTTGGGCCCCCCAACGGGACAGGACATGGAGTTGGTAGGACCCTCAGCAGAACCCCCAACGAAACAGGACATGGGGCTGGCAGGACCCCCGGCAGAACAGTAGTCGTTGGGCCCCCCAACGGGACAGGACATGGAGTTGGTAGGACCCTCAGCAGAACCCCCAACGAAACAGGACATGGAGTTGGCAGGACCCCCGACGAAACAGGCATCGGCTCGACCCCCAATGGAACAGGACGTGTTTGGCACGGCTGCAGGGGCCGGTACTGGAGCCGGAACCATGGCTGCTGGGGCCGGTACTGGAGCCGGAACCATGGCTGCAGGGGCCGGTACCGGAGCCGGAACCATGGCTGCTGGGGCCGGTACTGGAGCCTGAACCATGGCAGCTGCGGCCGTTACTGGAGCCGGAACCATGGCTGCAGGGGCCGGTACTGGAGCCGGAACTGGAATCCTGGCCTTGTGTTTCCTTCCATTCTGCCTTGTAGCCTTGCGGAGGCTCAGGGGTCCTCCAAAGGCCAGACGAGACCCAGCGAAAGGGTCCTCCAAAGGAGCCTTGTTGGGAACTGTGGCAGGCCGGGAAACAGGTTTGACCTCAAAGCTACCGAAAAAGTCCTCCACCACTCCGGTAGTAAGTCTCTTAACTAGGGCCTCGAGGTTACTTCTTGGCGTGCCTTATGGCGCATTTCCACTGCAGCGGGTAGCCCCGTTTCAGCATCCTTAATCGTCCTCAAGCGGCCAGGCCAGTTTTTGGTGGCCTTTCCATATAGCGTAGCACCGGCTAGCGGGTACTTTTTCCCCTCTTTTTCCGGCCCCATAAAATCGTGGTTCTATCAGGCCAGGGCCAGGGCTGAACTAGTGACGTCAACACTCTCGACTGCTGATTGGTCAGAGAGAATCGTCACAAGATCGCGCGCGAGATCATCCCAAGCGTCGCATATATATCTACACTGAACAAAAATATAAATGCAACACTTTTGTTTTTGCTCCCATTTTTCATGAGATGAACTCAAAGATCTAAAACATTTTCTATAAACACAAAATAACCATTTCTCTCAAATATTGTTCACAAATCTGAAAAAGTCTGTGATAGTGAGCACTTCTCCTTTGCCGAGATAATCCATCCCACCTCACAGGTGTGGCATATCAAGATGCTGATTGGACAGCATGATTATTGCACAGGTGTGCCTTAGGCTGGCCACAATAAAAGGCCACTCTGAAACGTGCAGTTTTGCTTTATTGGGGGGGTCCGAAAACCAGTCAGTATCTGGTGTGAGGGTTAGGGTTAGGGTAATGTTGTGAATCGAGTGGCCTGTGTTCGTCGTCCATAACATACGCCTGCCCATACCATAACCCCACCACCACGGGCCACTCGATTCACAACATTACCCTAACCCTAACCCTACCCCTACCCCTCACACCAGATACTGACTGGTTTTCGGACCCCCCCAGACCCCCCCAATAAAGCAAAAATGCACGTTTCAGAGTGGCCTTTTATTGTGGCCAGCCTAAGGCACACCTGTGCAATAATCATGCAGTGTAGGCGGGGCACATTTCGAGTTGTTCCGTCGAGCTCCCGCTGGATTTGATCATCCCCAATGAGATGTAGGAACGTCGTCACCTCCTCGGTCGACCACGGTGTGCTTTTCTTTGACGTTGCCATTTTTGTAGCTCCTCCGTTTACAATAATGCTGTGTATAAAAATGCTGCAAGCTTGCTTCTACACTGAAAAAATATATAAATGCAACACTTTTGTTTTTGCTCCCATTTTTCATGAGATGAACTCAAAGATCTAAAACATTTGCTATATACACAAAATAACCATTTCTCTCAATTATTGTTCACAAATCTGAAAAAATCTGTGATAGTGAGCACTTCTCCTTTGCCGAGATAATCCATCCCACCAGGTGTGGCATATCAAGATCAAATCAAATCAAGTTTTATTTATATAGCACATTTATAAACGATTTTTGGTCGAGCCAAAGTGCTGTATATATAATAAAAATAGCCTACAGTAGAGACACTTTACAGCAAATACAACAGCACAGATTGTTCAGAATATCAGTATGAGAAAAACGACATCCTCTATCCTTAGACCCTCACATCGTACAAGGAAAAACTTCCGGAGAATACCCACAGTTTAAGGGGAACATGGGAGAAACCTCAGGGAGAGCAACAGAGGAGGGATCCCTCTCCCAGGACGGACAGAGGTGCAATAGATGCCGTGTGTAAATCGAAGAGATAATACATTTTACAGCATATAGACCGAATGTTAGGAAATGCATGTGTCTATAATAAGAAGATGAATCCACGAGGATGTCAGCTACAGTCCTGTGGAAGCCATCAGGGAAGCAGCATGACGAGACCCAAGGCACGACCGGAGAGACAGGTTCAGCCACGACCCGAAGTCCACGACTTAATCCAGAACTCAGGATAGAGGATCCAAGACACAGGACTACAGCAAGAGGATCAGCCTCGACTCCGGATCCCGGCGTAGATATAGATACAAAACAAGAAAAAATATTTGGCTGGGTTAATCGGAACAAGAGAATACACAGACACAGACAGAGAGGGAAAAGGTCATTGGATCAAAGTTATTCTTCCTCTAGAAAGATCTCATGAATTTCCCCACTCAATCTATCAAGACCCGAGCAGTTCTATTAGATATAGGATAAGAAACAGAGAGCACTCCCCCGCTTATCTAAGTGACTCTGTACCCCGTTACCCTCTACAAGGCCATAGACCAGCAGATGCTGATTAGACGTTGCTACCCCAGGTCCTAAACTGTAATGGAATTGCGCCACGGCCTCGGATGGCCAGCGAGGCAGCCCGAGGCCTGAGCGAGGACGCTAACGGGGCAACCCCGCTGCAGTGGAAATGTGCCATTAGAGATGATAGACTGCCTTTCCTCTCTAGTGGAGGCGTATCGACAGTCATTTTTAAAACAAATTCAATTGTACGTAACCTCGTAGGCTGTCTGCTGGGTCCATTCTTGGTGAGATCCTTCTGTCAGGGTTGAGCGAAGCAGGCAGGACCCAAATGCAGGTGTAACTGAAAAAATACCTTTATTTCAAGGATACGACTAAACATACAGAGCAGAACTCTCTCCCCTGTGAACACATTCAAAAAACAACAAGGATCTCACAAAGACTAACAGGAAAAGCAGAACCTAAATGCACACAGGACTAATCAAACAAACAAGACACAGGTGAGGAGGGAGGAGAAAACAGGGTCACAAGGTGAACACAATCAGGGGTTGAACA